GGTGAGGGGGCACAAGGACACTGCGGGGGAGGGGTGCACAAGGATGCTGCAGGGGGGAACAAGGACGCTGCGGGGGAGGGGAACAAGGAGGCGGTGGAAGGGACAAGGATGCTGCGAGGAAGGGGAAACAAGGACGCAGCGCGCACCCTCCACGGGCTCCGGGGACGGGAACCTTGTGTGCGCGGAACGCTCGGGCAAGGCCGGCGGGCAGCCCGAGCGCCTTTGGGGGCCGGACCGTCGCGCAGCAACGTTGGGAGCCGGCGGAAATGGGGCTCGTGTCCCGCGGCACGGCCGCGGCGGGGCTGGGGACTGTGTCTGCTGTCGTTCGCTCTGGCCCCCCCACCGCAGTCCCCAACCCCATCCCGAACCCGCCGGCCGAGGGCGAGGCCCCCGGAACCAGCCGGTGAGCATTCGCGGGGAGGGCCAACATCTGTGCGGTGTGACCTTGGGGAGCTGCCCCTCTGACCCAGGGCCCCGGGCTGTGGGCCCCGACTCCCCGGCCGCTGCGGGACCGGACGCAAGCGAAGGAGCGAAAGGGTCTCCCAGAGTCTTCTCCCGGGCTGGCGTAGGCCTCTTGCCACTCGGAGCCTCTTGTTTTATCACCCGTAAAATGAGGACGCCACTGGCAGCGGCCCAGGGTCGCCTGCGGCTTAGGAGGGCAGTGAGCGGCCTCTGCCAGCTTCCCCCTACCCATCTCCCCGAGGAGGCCGTTTCCCCAGACCCCGGTGGTTCTGCGGCTGGCCCGAGTGGGTGCTCTTGCCGGGGAGTCTGGTCCCAACACCCAATAGGGTTAAGGGCACCTGGCCCGACCCCGTTGACCCACCCAACTTGGGTCTTGCCGTGGACTCTGCTGGAAGACCATTAAGGGTCAGAGGAACTAGCTGTCAGAACCTTACGGTTGTCCCTGATGGCAGTAAAGGGCAAAAAACGGAATCCTAGATTCATATCCTAGATTCATTCTTCTGAAATGAGAGGGGGAAAGGCACTGTTCACAAAACATGAGAAAGAAAAAAAAAATTTAAGCACAAACGACATGGAGTAAAAACGAATTCTTGTGAGCTATCAAGGAGCAATGACTGGGAGGCTTCCCAGAAAAGGCTTTCAGCTAGTGAGATGTCCCTGACCAGTCATACCTGAGCATTTCCCTGGAATCAGTTTATGCAGAGGTTGAGAGGGAAGTACAGCTTCTACTTCATAAGGTAGACTATTGGTCTCTGTTTCTGTGGGGAGGAGCATCCCAGAGATCCTGACTGATCCAGGAATGGGCTGTTTCATAAGGGAACTCGGTGTCATTTTTAACAGGGGAGGCTTTTCCAGCTATGTGCCCTTGTTTTTTTGTTTTCGTGTTTGTTTTTATCAGTCTTCAAAGGTGTGCACATTCCCCAAGTTACTGCCCTGCTTCTCCCATCTGCACCTCTGCTATTGATTGCCTGCTCTTTCATCTCTTTCTGGCTGGCTGATCTGAGCAGACTTCTTTGTGTTCATCACTCCCAGAGGCTGAGGTGGGAGCCGGGATGGGAATTTGCTCCATAATCTGTTAAGAGTTCTTTCTCACTACCCCACGGATAAGAACATCAACTTCTGCCCTCTGCTCTTCTTAGACATGAGGAGCTGCTGCTTTTTTCTTTTTTTTGGTAAACTTTGAGGATGAAGCATAAGACATACAAAGAAAGTGTACAACGTGACAAATTTTCCCAAAGCGAACACACCATGTAGCCAGCTTCACCCAGAGCACCTGTTTGTCATTAGGCCAGTTGTGTTTCCTTTTTGACAGTAGCCATGAGCAGTTTTTCTTAGCTTGTGTGAAAGTAGTCCCCAAGCAGGGTGTGATGGTATCATTTGGCTGAGCTGGTATGTCCTGAAAGGCTGGCACTGAGAGGCTTGGACTGTGCTGGCTGGTAGTTGCCAAGCCAGACACACTGGGTCTCTCACAGGCAGAATAGCTCTGTCCCTCTCACAATGCCATCAGGAGGGCAGTCCATGCAGAAGGGTCAGGAAGACAAGTTGGCCCTGGATGCCCTTGATAATGGCCACAGGGATTTGGCCCCAGGCTGCTATCAGGGTCCAGGCTTTCCCCTGCTAGCTCCCACTGTTGCCTGCCCTCCCTGGCCACTGGGGGAGGGGCATTTGGGAGTCCTGCTGCTGCTGGACTCAAAGGGGCCCTTTTCAGCTGGAACCCATAGCTGTAAGATGCCCTTTTCACACGCTGGCTGGGAGAAACCTTGACCCTTCAGCCCCAGGCTGGGCTACCTGCAAGGGAAAAAAGCAGCTGCATCAGGGGTCTCTTAAGACCTGGGAGTTCGTATCTGTGTGAGGCCTCTGAGTGTCCCCTGATCCTCAGGAAAAGGACCCCTGTGCCTCCCACAATGTTACACTGCCCCGACATGTATGTGTTTCTCTGTTCGTGTATCCCCAAGGACCTGGTGAGCATTGAGGCCTAGAGGCCCAGGCTCAGTCCAAGGCCTATTTTTCTCCCTCCAGCGTGGGTTTCAATTTAGGGGTCTTAGCTCAGGGTGGCTGCTCTGCCCTTTATGCCAATAAGTGGGGGCAGTCAGTGTCTGAGAAAGGGAATGCCTCAACATGAAAGTCCTCAGTCCATGCTGGGAGAGGTCCTGCCGCCTTTCAGGCCCCATCTAGGAGGGGTTCAGGTAGAAGAATGAAATGCTTACTGAGAAACCCTCATCCCCAGTGAGCTTACTTCTGGGCAAGTTAAGGCTCAGGGTCCCACAAAACTCAGGAATTGCAGCCATTTGAAGCTGTTCTTGTTGCTTAGAGGTCATGTGAGATTTGTGAGAGGCCAGGAAGTCTGGTGTCCCTCATCCTGAGGGACTTGTAGATAGATACTTGGTTGGAAGTATACTTCCCAAAGGAGGTGCTCAGCTGTGACTAGAAGAAACACTCTATTGGAAGCCCTGCCCTAAAGCGGCAGATGGATGGGGCTCCCAGGGCAGAATGGGCATGGCTATAGACTGGAGGGTCAGAGTACAGGCAGAAGCCCTGTGAGAGCTGAACCTGTTCTCTGTGCTCCGAGGCTCCTCTGGGAGACTCACTGGGCAGGGAGGTGGGCTCAAGCTACCAGGCACATCCCTAGGCATCTTCTGGGACGTCTGCACCAGTGCCCACATCCACCAGCAGTGTGCACATGTCTGCTTTCCCTCAGCCCAGCAGCTATTTTTTAATCCTCATCTTTATTCTTGCTAGCTTAGTAAGTAAATCAGGATTCTTCAGAGTTTTAATTTGCATTACTTTAATTGTGTTTTGTTTTTGTTTTTTAAATCCTCACCTGAGGATATTTTTTCCATTGCTTTTCAGAGAGAGTGGAAAGGGGGCAGAGAGAGAGAGAGAGAGGGAGAGAGAGAACCATTGATGTGAGAGAGGCACATTGATTGGTTACCTCCCGTACTTGCCCCGATAGGGGCTGGGGATCAAGCCTGCAACCGAGGTACGTGCCCTTGGCTGGAATTGAACCCGGGACCCTTCAGTCCACGGGCCAGCACTAACTACTGGGCCAGACTGGCTGGAGCGCATTACTTTAACTGGTAATGAAACTGTATATTTTTCTATGTGCTACACATGAAAAACTAATCAGTTTCTATAAAAACAAAAATTAAAACCTCTGTTCATCCCCGCAGCCCCTGTGAATGGTACTGAGCAGGTCATGTAACCTCTCCTGCTTGTCTGAAATGGAGAAAGCATTGACTTGCCTTGGAGTGGGGATGAGGGGTGATTTGGGGCCTATGCTCACAACAGCCCAGGGCAAAGTGAGGGCAGTGCCCATGGGAGATGGACAGGCGGGGATCCCCCCCAGCCTCCATGAGTAAACCCCAAACTGGGTTACCCCAACCAGTGAGCTCTGTGGCCGTGTGGGATGTGCCCATCAGGGTGTTTGTGCCACACATTGGCTATGGCCTGTAGCCACAGCACTGCTAGCTACCCTGGGGCCATGGAGGCATACTGGTGGTGGCAGCAGCAGCTCTGAGCTGAGCTTCTCCCCTCTCTTCCAGTGTCTCCAGCATGGTGCTTAAGGCTTTCTTCCCCACATGCTGTGCCTCGGCAGACAGCGGCCTACTAGTTGGACGGTGGGTCCCAGAGCAGAGCAGTGCTGTGGTCCTGGCTGTGGTGCACTTTCCCTTCATCCCCATCCAGGTCAAGGAGCTCTTGGCCCAGGTGCAGCAGGCCAGCCGAGTAGGTGTGGCTGTCCTGGGCACCTGGTGCCACCATCGGCAGGAGCCCGAGGACCGCCTGGGCCATTTCCTGGAGGGCCTGGGTGCCATCTTCTCCCATGAGCCCTGGCTCCAGCTGTGCCGGGAGAGGGGCAGCAAGTTCTGGAGCTGCAAGGCCACCCACCGACAAGTGCCTACCTCCCCTGATGCCCCCAGTGAGGACCAGGTCATGCTCATCTTCTATGACCAGCGTAAGGTGCTGCTGTCCCAGCTGCACCCACCCGCAGCCCTGCCTGACCGCCAGGCTGGGGATGCCACAGCCAGTGCTGGGGGTCTGGCTGCTGTCTTTGACACGGTGGCACGAAGTGAGGCACTCTTCCGAAGTGACCGGTTTGATGAGGGCCTCGTGCGGCTGAGCCACTGGCAGTCAGAGGGTGTGGAGGCCAGCATTCTTGTGGAGCTGGCCAAGCGGGCCTCGGGGCCTGTCTGCCTGCTGCTGGCCTACCTGCTGTCACTCATCTCAGCTGCCAGCACCTGCAGGTAGGTGCCCCTGGGGCCGGGGTGGGAAGGAGTCAGACTCCTGAGTCCTAGGCCCACCCCCTCAGTGTGGATACCCAGACAGGCCCTTCTGAGGCTCATAGCTGTTCCCCACACTTTAGCTCTCCCATCCTCCCTCTCCTGGTATCTCAGATGTCCTGGTGGTGGCTGCTGTTCTGGTGCTCCTCACTCCTGAGGAAGAGCCAGGCTTCCTGGTAACCTCAGCAGCTGTGTAGGACCTGTGGGTACGGTTGCTGGGTGAACCTCAGACAGCTCCAGCCTGTGAGAAGGAGATGAGGTGATGGACAGACTGGGTTGCCGCCTGAGGGCTGGTGTTTGCCCTGCCGGGGAGTTTCTCGTCCTCCTTAGTACACACAGTCCCGCCCACTTCCCTGACCCCGCACCGCAGGAGAGGCAGCCCTGAAGGCTGTGGGGATGCGTCCACTCACTGACAGCTATGGGTGTGGGGTGCTGGTCCCTAGGCTTGGCCACTCTCTAGAATCACCTGGAACACTCCTGCCTGCAGGCCCGGCAAAGGGATTTGTAAAAGCTCCTAAGGGCCCTGGGGATGCTGGGGCAGCACCAGGGTGTTCTGGCTGGGCTGTGGGTGCCCCTCTCTGTGTGATAAGCAATCTCCCTGGTGGGCAGCAGCTATGCTACACCCTCAGGCACCCCCTTCCCTTAGGTCCAGGGGTTCAAGTTATCTGGTTTGGGCAAGGCCCTGTTCTGGCAGATAGCCCGGGGCAGCTCTGTGTGGACACGCCTTGGATTGTGGGGGCTGCCAGGAATGGGTGGGTTTCAGAGCTTCACGATTCCCTTGGAATGAAGTACGTGGAAGTATGTCTAGGCCTAGGTACAATTTTGGGGATAGAAGGTTCTTAGCTTTTATCAGCTTTCAAAGGACCCAATAAAAGGTTAAGAACTGCTCATGTGCCCCAAATATGGATTAGCCCATCAGTCAGGTGTTAGTCAATGACTGGTGGTGATTATGAGCACAGGGATATTTACATGAGTGATGACTGTCACTGTGCAGTAGTGAAGCCAAGGGCAGGCCCAGAGATGCTCTTGGGATCTAGGCTGCCCAGGGCTGGTCTGAACCTCAGAGAGACTGCTGTGCAGGCAGGGGTCTCTGTGCAGCCAGTGTGAGGCCACCTTCCACTTGATTGGAGTTGGAGGGGAGGACAGTATGCTGAAGTCATTTCATTTCTTTCTTAATTTATTTTTTTTTTCATTTCTTGGAATTGGTTCAAAGATGCTTGGTTAAAATGAAGCCTCTAAACTTTTCAAGGTCTAGACTTCATCCTTCCCAGGAGCTTATTGGTGGCTCTGCACTTTACACAAGCCCTTTCTGTTCCCTGCTGTCAGCAAGGTTGTGAATGGAAAGGGGCTCTGGGCATGGCTGAGTTATATAATCCAGCACTTCCTTCATCTTTGCTTCCAAGCATGTCCCCTCAAGGTTTTTTTGTTTGTTTATTTGCTTTTTTAAAAAAAATATATCTTTATTGATTTCAGAGAGGAAAGGAGAGGGAGAGAGACAGAAACGTCAATGATGAGAGTCATTGATCGAGCCCGCAACCTGGGCATGTGCTCTGACCGGGAACCGAACCCTGATCGCCTGGATCCTAGGTCGACGCTCAACCGCTGAGCCACGCCCGGCCAGGCCCCTCAAGGTTTTAATGTCTGTGGAAGCCTCTCAGTGCTTCCTTTGCCTGGAGAGAAATCAGTCTCATTGGGCAGCCAGGGCAGCTCAGAGACCCTTGATGAGAGTCACCCATCCAGCACAGCAAGACCCTGGGTGGCGAGACAGAGTGTTTTCTCCACTACTGGGGTGCATTTGGCCTGGGATCAGGTCTTTGTGAGATTGTCGGGCTCCCAGCTAATGGTTATGAATGTATCATGAGCCCTGTTTGCCCTCCTAACTGTGCCCTAGCTCTGCTGAGTTCAGGAGTGTGGCCATTGGTGTTTGGGGCCACCAGAGACTCTGGCTGAGCCTGGTATGGTGCTTCCTGTCTGCACAGTGAGGGATATTGGTGACACTGAGGCAGCCCTTGCTCCCTGGCAGGCAGAAGCGCCCCCGGAGGAGCTGAAGGCCCACCCATCTCTGCTCCTTCACAGGATATTCAAGCTGTGGCCACTGTCCTTCATCTGGAGCAAGCTCTCCACGTGTGAGCAGCTCAGGCATCGGCTGGAGCAGCTGACATTCATCTTCAGTACCCAGAAGGCCGAGAACGCCTCCCAGCTGATGAGGTTTGGGGCCTGCCCTGGGTCTTCCCTGCAGTGACCAGATGTGCCCCAGGCCACGCCCCTTTCCCATCCTCTTCTCTGCACCAGACCCATCCTTGTTGACCCTTTCTGGTCAGGCCGCCCTCACTGTCTGCTCCTGTTGGACTCCTCCTTTCAGGAAGGCCAACATGCTTGTCTCCGTGCTCCTCGACGTGGCCCTAGGCCTTGCTCTGTTGTCCTGGCTCCACGGGGAAGACCGCATCGGGCAGCTGGCTGATGCCCTTGTTCCTGTGGCTGATGTGAGTTGGATGGGGTGGAGCCAGGTCTGGACTCCAGCACCTGTTTCCTGGGATGGGGATGGGGCACTTCCTGGGGGCGGCAGAGGCCCCTGAACCAGCCGGAGCACCTCTTCCCCTCCACTTTTTGTGGCCACGAGAGCAGCCCTTATCACTGGCCCCTGGGAACTGCGGAGCCTTGAGTGTGCCAGGTGCCCACCCTCCCATTCTGAGTCACATTGCAGCTCCTGGCTTCTACCTTCTTTTCCTGAAGGTGGCCGTGTCTGGGGACCACCTTGTGGTCAAGGCTTTTACGGGGAGCCCACCTCTCCCAGCCTGACCCAGTGTCATGGTGTTCTTGTTGCCTCCTCCAATGCATGACTGTTTCTGTTCTCCTGGCTGGCTTTTGGCTTGGGACCTCTGCATGGTCAGCATCACGGAAACCTTCTGTGTGTTGTCTGTGCAGGGTTGCCTGTGCAGTTGAGCTCTGGCCTCCCACCCTTTGGTGGTCACTTTGCTCCCAGCACTTGTTCTATAGTTCCGTGCTGAGAGCCAGAGGTACCAGCTCATCTGCTATGCGCCTGGACTTGCCTGCACATCTGGACAATGTTTCCAGGGCCTTCTCCCTGCCACACCATCCTTCCAGGGTCCACCTACTGCATTCAGCTTCTCTGCCTCCTTTCCTCAGAGCCAAAGACCCTGTCACTTCTGTTGGGAGCTTGTCTTCCTGTTTAGGGCAATTCCTCCGGCCCCTGGGGCTACCCACAGGTCTCTTCAGGGGCCTCCTGTGGCTGAGACATGACTGAATGGCCCATGTGGGCTCAGCCTCTACTGGCCGTCATCGGTATCCAGCCATGGTCGCTTACTGGGCCTACTTGTGGCTAGGACCTGGCTCTGTGGGCAGGAGCCCTCACAGGCTGAGTGTCCATGGCTTCTCAGGGTGGCACAGCTTAAAGGAAGGAGAAAGAAGAGTCTAGGGGCTGGGAAAGGGGCTTGGCAGCTTTGCCTGCTCCTCTGTGCTCTGCTGTGGCCAACTTCACCCTAGACTTCCCTTCTGCAAAACTGCTCAGAAATATAAATATTTAATTTAAAAATGAAAGCCTCTTCCTGCCACTAAGCTCTTATCCTTTAAATATTAAATAAGCTTTATTTATAAAGAATGTTCTGTTCCCCTTCTCACTGCTCCTGATATGGCTGAGGCCTTCACACGGAATTGGGAGAGACCTGCAAGGTGGACAGGGTTGGGGGTAGGGGTGGAGGTGGTGGCAGACCTCTGACTGTGAGGCAGAGATGTCACTCCTGTGGCCACAGCATTGGTGATGAAGCTGAGAGTCCTCAGGGCCTGCCCATTGGGGTCAGCATGGCACACGGACATTGGCTTTCCCCCTGGGGCAGTCAGGACACTGGTCAGCTTCCTTGCTTGCTTGTGAGGGTCCCTGTGCTGTCTTTGGCCCTCACTCAACATTGATCTTGACTGAGTCCCCATCTGTCCTTCCCTTTAGGGGACCCTCCCACCCTCCTACCTGCTAGCTGGGCCCCTAATGGGCTGGATACCCTCACCCTCACCTGAGGTCATCCACCCAGGGCAGCTATGGCAGGAGGTAGGATGGGTTCTTGGTGGAGGAAGACTGGGTGGGCCCGTGGGCTCCCCCTGCAAGGTTCACGGTGAACCTGCGTCTGTTCCATGTCCTGGAGCCTGGAGCCAAGGGCTCCTATAGGTGCAATGGCCAGAGTGGCGAGATGGGACAAGGATGCTGTATTCAGAGGCTGACTCCCATCAGGGCTACCTGTCTAGAGGGCCAGGGGCAGACTGTCAGCATTGTAGATTGTGCCTCTCAGCCCCGCATCCCGGAGCATCTGTGAAGAGGGGTTCCATGGCCAGACAAGTGTGGGAAGTCCTGTGTGCCCATCATGATAGGAGATGGCCATCCAGACACCTGGAGAAGGGAGCCCTGTCTACCTTTGCCCTGCACAGATGGGCTGACCCAGTTTATGGACAACACGCCCCTCTGTGTCCTCCCAGCGAGTGGCCGAGGAGCTCCAGCATCTGCTGCAATGGCTGATGGGCGCACCCGCTGGGCTCAAGATGAACCGGGCTCTGGACCAGGTTCTGGGCCGCTTCTTCCTGTACCACATCCACTTGTGGATCAGTGAGTGCTATGGGTGGGCAAGCCCTGGGACTTCCCAGTGATCCCTGACTTGGCTCCTAAATCCTGTGGCCCCGGGGAAATAGGTCCTGGTTGAGCAGGGCAGTGGGGTGCAGGCTTGGCACCATCCCTTTGGTCCCTGCTTCCTGCCCTCCTGGTGTCCAGCGTGTGTGGAGCCCTGCTATGCTAGGCCAGCTACTCTACTGAGGGATGGCCAGTGGCATAGTCTGTCACAGTTTCCAGAAGCCTCAGACACCACCCACAGTGAGGACTTGGGGAGACCAGGACCTTCCTGAGCAACCCCCTCAGGGCTGACCCCGCTCCTGCCAGGCTACATCCACCTCATGTCCCCCTTCATCGAGCGAATCCTGTGGCACATGGGCCTCTCAGCCTGCCTGGGCCTGACAGTTGCCCTGTCCATCCTGTCGGACATCATCGCCCTCCTCACCTTCCACATCTACTGCTTCTATGTCTATGGTGCCAGGTGGGTGTGTGCTTCCCACCCCTGTATGCTCGCCCAGTGCAACCCTCTATGCCCCGGGCACCACAGACAGGCTTCTGGGCTGGGTGGCTACAGGGGTGGTGCAGCACCCAGGCCTGGTCCTGATGGCACCCATGTCCTGCAGGCTGTACTGCCTGAAGATCTGTGGCCTGTCCTCACTCTGGCGCCTGTTCCGGGGGAAGAAGTGGAATGTTCTGCGCCAGCGGGTGGACTCCTGCTCCTATGACCTGGACCAGGTATTGGGAGGACTGCAGGGGAGGGTGCACCCTGGCTTCAACTGGCCAGTGTGACCTCCCAGCTCCAGTCCAGCCGACCCCTCTGAATGGGCCTGGCCAGTGCAGCTTCTTGGGCACCATGAGGAGGCAGCCATGCTCCTGTCCTGCAGCTCACTTGCCACAGGGTCAGCATCAACCCTGGGAGACCTGGGGAGTCTGTAAGATGCAGGGTCATGTGGGGCCCACAGACAGTACAGGATCTTACCCCATGTAGGAGGTGGACTCTGCTCTCAAGAGGCTGCTGGGCCCTAGGGAAGCACTGGTGAGCGGGCACTAGAAGTAACTTTGGCAGTGGGCCCTGGAGATGCCCCCAGGCACAGGACCCTGGAGGTGACCCAGGAAGGAGGCCCAGAGGAGACCTGGGCAGTGGGCCTACAGGTGACCCAGGCAGTGGGCCTGGCTCTAGCTTGTCCCATTAGCTTGCTCAGACCTAACACATGGACCCTGCGTGCTCCCCTCCAGGGTACATTTTTTTCTGCCTGATTTTCACAACCTGTTTGTCTTTGGTGTACATGGCTGTACACCTTATTAGTTGGTCCTCTTTCCTCAGATGCCATCTCCCATGTCACTGAGCCTGGAGGGCACACAGTCATTCCCCCCCCCAGTACTGGAGAGAAATGTCACGAGCAGGCTTTCCTGAGTGGTCTCAGGAAGCCAGATGTCCTACCAGCAGGCATCCCCTTTCTGCTCAGTTACAGGATAGGCTTGGTGGGGAGGGAAGCAGGGGTGTGGCCAGTACTGATGGGGCTGTCCCAGCGTGAGTTCCAGCGGATGCTGAGGGTGCCCCTTCTCCCGGCAGCTGTTCATTGGGACTTTGCTCTTCACCGTCCTGGTCTTCCTGCTGCCCACCACGGCCCTGTACTACCTGGTATTCACCCTGGTGAGCCTTGGGGGGCTTTGGGCATGGCAGATGTACCTGCCAGCGTGGGCGGTTGTGGACAGACCATCCACTGCTGCAGGCCATGTGGGTGTTTTAGACTCTGGGCAGTGTGTACTGGGCCCCGGAGTGGGTAGGGGTTTTACCCTGGGGGGACACCACCCACCACTCTGGGACACTCAGCTGGGTACAGGAAGGGCAGGACCCATGGTGGGCAGGTCATGGTGGTGGTCCCCCCTTAGTGCCTGGCATGGGAGTGGGGACTCAAATGGAGGGGAGCAGCACCTAAGTGGCTTGGGCCGAGGGGCCAGTGACTCATTTCCCTGGATCAGAGCACCGTCTCCTCTGACCTTGTGGGAGGGCCAACCACTCCTGCCTCCTGTTTCCCTGCTTCCTTGTGCTTGGGCCTCAAGTTTGGGACAGGATCTGTGCCATCCTCAGGGTGGGATCCATGCTCTCCCAAGGCTCTTGAGTCCCTGGTCACCCTTCATTGTGGCTGAGAACCCGTCAGGCTGCTTTGCTCAGGGACATGCCAGAGTGGCTCTGGCCATGGTCCCGACTCAGAGGCCCTGAGCACTGTCTGTGCTGCAGCTCCGGCTCCTGGTGGTCACTGTGCAGGGTGTGATTCATCTGCTCGTGGACCTCATCAACTCCCTGCCGCTGTATGCACTCGGCCTCCGGCTCTGCAGGCCCTACAGGCTCTCTGGTAGGTCTGGTGCTGGGTGGGCAGGCACACACCTGTGGGCCCTGCAGAAACACCAACTACACAATGTGTGCTTCCTACCTGGAAGTGGTGGTGTGCATGGGGTGCGTGGGGAGAGGGGACAGAGACTCCTGGTCCCTGGGCATCTGTTGGACCAGTTGCCTGCACTGAGCTGGAGGTAAAGGGCCCAGCTGGTGCTCAGGTTCGGAGGCCACAAGGGTGACCTTTTTTTTCACCCTTTTCTGTGACAAGTGTGAATATCTGCCGAGGTCTGTCCACAGTGGTGTAGGTGGTACCAGCATGTGGCTCAGAGATATGTACTTGTGTGGTTGTGTGGGGCTGTGTGTGCCTACTGGTACCCCTCAATTTTGGAGGCAACAAGCCAGGATGTTGGGCTGGCCAGATCTGTGTGACAAGAGTGTGTTCCCGCCCTGCACCCAGCAGACCACTATCTGCTGGGACAACACCCCCCATCCCAGCTGCCCCCCCTTGCCATCCCCTATGCAAGTGGCTGCCTATTTTCATGCTGACATTAACCTCTGGCTTGGCCACATGCCCCTAAAGGGAGGCTGTCCCCATTTCAGACCTTGGGAGGCGCACTTGACTGTTCACAGGATTGTGGGTTGGTGCAGAGACTTTGAACATATCAGGGAACTTGGAGAGTTCTAGCTCAGCCCCATCCAGCTGTTTAGATGGCCCCCAAGGTGATCATAATGCCCAGGAGGCCCTGCACCCAGTTTGCAGCTGGGCAGCTTGGGATACATCCCAGATCTCATGGTGGCTGCTCCCAGCCAGCTTGGAGCCAAAGGATGTGAATATGGGTGTTCCACAGGTTTTGGACCTAAAGTCTGTCTGCTGAATGCCCTGAACCCCTCTTTACAAGGCACTTTCCCTGTAGATGGCCAGGCCAGGGACCCATCAACTGTGCTGCCTATGTTCACTCAGCCCCCAGCCTACACCCACACCTCAGAATGCCAGGACAACACAAGTGGAGAGCCCAAGACTCAGCACCCTCCTCCCCTATATCCTGGCTCACTGCCAGAGCAGAGTCGTTTTAACTTCACATGAAAGGCCACAGATGCTGCTGCCTCCTCTCTTCTTCCCTGAGTTTGCCTTGGGCCTCTTCATCAAATAATAATTAGCTCCCATTTCTCTTTTCAAAAAACCTTTGGCTTGGAATCCCCAGGCTTAGGAGTCCAAACTGCAGGCCAAGGGGCATGGTAGGTCCCAGTCGGCCACACACACAGAAGTTGGAAGACATTTAGGTGCCAGTAGGACAGCCGCCACCCAGCAAGTGCCCGTTGGCTCTGTGGGAAAACCCACGTCTCATTTGGAAAACAGCACAGGCTGCACTGCACCACCCAGCTGCTCTTCCCTGCTAGCCAGACACTTAGCTTTTTCCTTTCCGTGGAGTTGTGCAGGAGGCTTTGATATTGGCCCAGCAGCCCATTCAGAGAGGCAGATGGGAAGGACAGGAGGGGCGGCAGAGCTCAGGCAGCCCTCTTGAGTGCCGCCCAGAGATGAAGGGGCCTTCACCACCACAGCTCCTCTGTCCACGCCCTCCTCTGCTGACACACAGAGGAGGAGGACTGATGGGGGCTGTCTGCTGGGCCCTGGGAGCCCTGGAAGGCCACTCCTCTCCCTCGAAAACACCTTGCTCTCCTTCCAGCTGGTGTGAAGTTTCAAGTCCTGGAGCATGAGGCTGGCAGGCCCCTCCGCCTCCTGATGCAGGTGAGACCTCTGCATACTCCTACCACTGCTGCCTATGGACAAATCCCTCTCCCCACCCCATGATGCTGCCCATGTCGTTGGGCAGCTGGGATCAGGCCCCTCTATGCCACCCTAGGTTTAGAGCATCACGGGCCCAGGGTATGGTACAGGCAGGAGGGCCCAGTGGAGCTGAGGTATGGGACCCAAAGGGAGACTCCCACCCCCAAGGCCTCTGGGCACCATGACCATCTCTGCCTGGAACCTTCCGCAGTAGGGCCCATGAATGGGATCCCTTGTACTGTCAGATCCCTTTGGCCACCTAGGGCTCCTGCCTGCTTGGCCATGGGTCCCTGAATCCTGCCAGGGGCCGCAAGAGCTCTTGTTCCAGGCAGAATGGCACAAATTTGATGAAGGCCTCTAGACACACACGTTCTCTGTTGGACTCCTTTATTTGAAACAGTCATGGGCCCCCAGCCTTCAGGAGGGAGTAGGTGACTTGCCGGATGACCCCCCTGGGTGACTCACTGGGTGCCAGTGTTGGGTCCAGGCAGGCAGGGTTAGCTTGAGGGTCATTGGGAGAGATCAGATGCTGAGGCAGCTGGCACCCTGTGTGGTTTTCTCGGTGTGTGGTGTGTTCTGAGTCCTACCTGAGGAGGCTCCTGGGAGCTCTGTGGGTCCTGGAGTGGAGGGGTCTGCACTCTGCAAGCCCAGCCCACCCTTCCTCTCTGCAGCCTACTCAGAACAGATCATTCCCTCCCAAGCTGCTCATCGTACCCCGTGGACCACAGGCTAGAACACATCTGACACAGAGCTGGCCCCAGGGACTTTCCCTCCAACCCCCGTGAGGGCTTTCCAGCCCTGGGGAGCTCAAGCCCCAGGGAGTTAGGGGCTGTGCCCAGGCTGACTGCTCTCCTTGTGCTTCCAGATAAACCCCCTGCCCTACAATCGTGTGCTACACACCTACCGCCTCCCCAGCTGTGGCTGCCACCCCAAGCACTCCTGGGGTTCCTTGTGCCGCAAGCTGTTCTTCGGGGAGCTCATCTACCCCTGGAGGCAGAGAGGAGACAAGCAGGACTGAGGGACCCCAGCCACCAGCCTGCCCAGCACCACTGCACGGCTGTGGTCAGCCCTCTACCCTGCCAGGGTGGTGTTGACTGTCAGGCAGCACATGGCCCTGCACTCTGCCTTCCCTGCTCCCTGTTTGTCTGGGACCTCTGCAGGCCCTACTGGCCCTGCCTGTCACATATCCTCCCAACTATGAAGTTGAATATGAGGTCATCAGGGTGGTAAGCAGGAGGACGCAGGGGTGGCCAGCCAGGTCAGCTGGCCTGTGCTGCATAACGAGCACCGTTTGCCTCAGGACCCACCTCCAATGGGGCAGTGATGGCACTGTTAGCTCAATGCCCTCCAGCCCCCCAGCCCTACCCAGGAGCCCCCCTCCCCAACCGTCCTCAGACCCAGACCCTTTCCAGGAGGGGTTTTCAGAGCCCTGCCTCTGCCCACCATATCCTCTCTCAGTGGGTGAGCTGACAGGTCTTCTTGGCTGCTCCATGGTGGTCCAACCCTGTCATGGGGTGGAGGGACTCCTCCTAGGTTGCACTTAACAGTTCTTGAGACTTTGACACACCCCCCCCCAAGCATCTCCTTCCTTGGGTGTTTTTCTACAGATCCTCTCCTGGGTCCCTGACACCTCCTAGCTGCCTCAGTGGAGCAGTGGCCAGCCAGTGTGGGGGATCCAAGTAACCGCTAACCCCTGGCCCATACCAGCAGCCCCAATGAGGCAGGGTGTTCCAGGAAGCAGGGCGCCAGTGCCCCTCATGCCCTGAATTGCACAGGGTTACTTGTGATGCTCCCTGGGGAGATTGCTTTATAGGAGGAGCCAACCACAGGCCATTGGGAATCCCTTTGTGAAGCCAGGCCATGTGGGGTGCTCAGAGCTGCCTTGCTGGAAGCTAAATGCCCACCCACCAGGCTGCCCAGCTCCTGCCCCATGCCTACTCCTTGTCCCTGTAGGAACAGCCTTCTTGGCCAAATCTTCCATCTCCCTTCACTGGCTTCTTGCAGAAGCATGCAGCTCCTGGGAAGATGCTTCTATAGCCCCTTGGGAGGGGTCCTGGCACTCAGGCTGCATCTGCCTGCTGGCTGGCTGCAGAATCTGGGTGGGTGTGAGCCACAGAATCCCCAGTGAGGAAAACTGAAGATATGATGGCATCACATGGGTGCCATAGTTGGGAGATAGGGATGGGGGCAGTGCCTCCTGTCCATCGTGGGCACTCGGAACTGTCCACTTCTGCCACCCACACTCCTTGGCTGCAGACCACAGTGGGGGGGAGGGGGCGCGCCTGGAGGAGTCCTCACTAGCCCAGCATCTGCTGGGATAGGTCCTGGCTCCACCTTTCTCTGCTGTGACATTAAAGCCTCCGTGTGTTTGAGTGTGATGCTCTGCCTTCTTATTGCCCTGCATGCAGTGGGTCTGGGGCCCCCCTTCTCCTGGTGTGGTAGGACAGCTAGTCCCCACTGTTTGTTCTGAGATGACTACTAAGCTTTTCTGGTGATGCCAAGATGGGGGGCATTGAGCACCCTGTCTGCTGAAGCAGGCCTCTCTGCAGGTCTGGTGGGTTGGTGTGTAGGCTCTCGCCCCTTAAAGATATCCCAGTGTGGGTAGGTGGACCCAGGGCTACTTGATTTCTGATTTCAGCCTTGCCTTTGCATGGGGTTCTTCCAGGGCAGGGGTGTAGGCCTTCCTGCTGTTGAGGGGTGAGCCACTCCTGGCTCTGATAAATATGTCATCACCTGAAACTTGACTCTACACAGGTACTCCCTGACTGTCCTACAGCTGCCAGGGATCCTCAGGTGGCTTCCTCTGCATCTGTTATCCTGGCTGCATAGGGGAGGGGCTGGCCCAGAGAAGTCACTCAGCTACTCCCAGTCCTGCACCTCCACCCACAGAGGACCCCCGCCTGGGTCCTGGTGGGCAAGGACTGTGCCCCCAGCACCTGCTGAGAATGGCCTCTGCACCTGCATTTCTGGAAGTTGCTGAATTCTCTCCTCACTCTCCCTGGCCAACCTGCTTTTGCCTCTTACCCCTCCTGTCAGGGCTCGCATCAGGTGAGGGTCCTGCTGCTTGGCCCAGACCACTACGAGATGGTAGCCATGTCACAGGCTAGCCTGGCAGCTGTCACCCTCTGTGCCAGGTGCTGGGCTGCCTACTCATTTCCTGAGTGACAGCTCTCGTGTCTGGCCTGGTTCTTCCATATGTACAGAGAGGTTTCTGGCTCTGTCTACCTATAGGACTTTAGTGGGGCCTCTCCTTGGCACCAAACCTGGGCCAGGGTTTCCAGAGCAACTGAAACCTTTGTGGGTGCTCCCAGAGAACGTGTGTACAGAACTGTGGGGCCAAGGTCTATTTGCCCCATTGGTTAAACCTCAGATATTTCTCAGAGGGGCGGGCTTGGAGTATAGCATAGAGGGCTGTGAGTCTCCTGGAGGGGAAGGCAAAAATAGCCAGACCTCTCCCTCCCCTTGTTGCCCCACTTTCTACCTGGACAGAGGCTGGGTCTGGAGGCCTCGCCCCACCCTGCCCAGAGCCATTAGGTGTGGGAGCCACAGGGGATACAGTTCCCGGGCCTCTTCAACCACCCAACATGCAGGTGCCTAGGGCTGACCTAGGACCTGCAAGCAGAGGGCTGTGTGAGCTGCTTCATCCTTGGCCTGAGGTCCCTCAATGGCTGGGATGCTGTCCTGTTCCTTCCTCAGTCCCCTAGGCCAGGCCTGGCACTCAGTGGGCCCCAGGATATCCTTGCACAAGGGTATGCCTCTGAGTGGGAAGCCAGCCACTCTGTCCACAAGGCCTCCAGGACACCAGGTAGTGGCACCCCTCTGGCAATCCTTCCTTAACTGGGCCCTGCTGCCCTAGACCCTATGGGTTCCTGTGGTGTCTTTTTGCTCTGAGGCTGGGGGATCTCAGGTGGAGGATCTCAGCAAAGGACCAGAGGCCTCTGACAGGAAGTTCGCCCAGGCCTGCTCTCAGAATCACACCCCATGGACAGGCTCCCACCCTACAAAGCAGAAATGGTTGCACCTGCTCCACAGGCCACACTGGGAAAGGCCTAGGCAGAAAGTGTGCATGCTGAACCCACTGCCTCGCTTTGTCCTGGGTGATTGAGATCCAGGCAGCAGGACCTGCAGCTGCTAGAGCCCCTTCAGGGGAGGTCCTGAGAGGTAAGAAGTGCACTTTTGATTTAAATTTCCTGCAAAGTTGGTGATAATAGCTTCTCACCAACTATTCTTTCTGGGCAGCCTAAAAAACTGAGAAGGGACGTTAACCCCACAGTGCTTCCAGTCCTTGGAGAGGGGTCAGGGTGACTTCAGAGCAGGGAGTGGGCAGGGCCAAGGCAGAGGCAGGCTCAAGGCTGGGCACAGTGACCCCCTGGCCTGATGACCCCAAAGGCCCTCTCTGCCCTGCCAGGTGGAGGTTCAGGAGTGGGCAAGTGCCAGCTGCTGGCTCCTCCTGTGCTCAGTCCCTGGCCCCTCTGGGGACTCAGTCCCCTACCCCTGACCAGCTGAGGGCCAGTAAGACTGCCTGTTGGCTGTTTCTGTAAACATTGTGTTGTGGGTCTATGTGCCTTTTTGTAAACATGGGAGGCCGTGTTTGCTGTATTCCAGTGTCCAGGGAACAGCCATTTCTGGGGGAGGGGACATGGCCTGAAGAAGCACACAAGCAAGACCATTAGGGTTCCTAGTGGCTCTGCCCATCCCTGGCTAGCCTCTGCCCTCAAGTGTCCCAGCTTCCTGCTTCCCCAGAAGGCCAGGAGGACATCTGGAGAGCCTCTCACTGAAGGCAGGTGAAGAAGGACCAGGCACTTATCAGGTGCTGCCTCTCACCAGAGGGACCTGCTCCTTAAGAAGCCTCTCCAGGCACCGTGCCAAAATGAATAGGCAGTGTCCACATGGCTCGCTGTCCAAAAAAGTCTGTGTAGCTTTTTTTTTTTAATATATCTTTATTGATTTCAGAGAGAGGAGAGGGAGAGAGATAGAAACATCAATAATGAGAAAGTCATCACTGATTGGCTGCCTCCTGCACACCCCCAACTGGGGATCTGGCCTGCAACTCAGGCAAGTGCCCTGACCGGGAATCAGACCATGATCTCTTGGATCCTAGGTCGATGCTCAACCGCTGAGCCATGCCCGGCTGTGCTAGGCTGTGCAGCTTTGGGTCACTTGGTGTGTGCTGCCCATGAAGAGGTTTGCTCTCTGTGAAGTCCACCTGCTTTTGAAGGCATGGTGTGGATACAGTGACTCCTTAGGAAGAAAGTTTTTATTGCCTATTCCTTGCCTACTGGAAGGACATGCCAGCCAGGCTGCCTTTGTGCACCACACTGGGGACTGGTTGATGTGTTGTTCCCTCTGCAGAGATCTGCTTTTTAAGAAGCCCTTACTCTCATGAGGCTTCTCCCTAGCACTGCACCACTCTGTGCCTGATCTGCTAAGGGCTGCACTTGGCTCCGTTTTGACAACTTTTATTATTTTTTTAACATGTATTGAGGGCATAGTTTACATATCATAAAATTCACCCATTTTGAGTGCACAATTGAATGATTTGTAGTAACTTTACCAAGTAGTACAACTATCACCAATTTTAGAACATTTTTATCACCCCAGAAAGGAACCCAGACCCCTTTAAGCAGTCACTCATCATTTCTCCCTACCTCAAGCCATGGCAACCACTAATCTACTTTCTGTCTAGGGATTTGCCTATTCTGGAAGTTTCATATAAATGGAATGTAGCATTTATCAGTTACTTTATTCCTTTTTATAAATGACTATAGACATTGTGTGGATATACCCATTTTGTTTATCCATTGATCTGTTGATGGATGTTTGCGTTGTTTCCACCTTTTGGTGATTGTGAATAATGCTGCTGTGAATATTCATATACAAGTTTTTGTGTGGACATATGTTTTCATTTCTCTAGGAGTAGAACTGCTGCATCGTAAGGTACTTTTATGCTTAACTTTTTTGAGTTACTTATAAATTATGTCATATGTGAATATGTTCTCATAAAAATGTAATTTGTAGGTTCAGGAGCCTGTCCATGGGGTGGCTTGGTTGGAGCATCGTCCTGTACACTAAAGGGCTGTGGGTTGGATCTCTGATCTGGGCACATATGGGATGCCTCTCTCTCACAATGATGTTTCTCTTTCTCTCTCTGTCCTTTCCTCTCTCTAAAAATCAATAAAAACATATTCTCTGGTGAGGATTAAAAAAAATGTCATCAATGAAGAAAAAGTCACCCCAGAGGAAATGGTGCTGTCCCTTTGTTGAGTATCCTTCCAGACTTAATCCTACACAAACATCCTGTTTCTCTATATGTAAATCTAGGATAAAATGATTTATTAGGTTTTATTAAGCATAAATGTTGGAATTACACTGGATGTACTGTACTGTTATTTGCTTTCTTCTCATGTAGGTGCTGTCTGTACCGTGTGTTACTCACCTGGTTAATTTAGCTCCCTGTCAGTTTCCTGACTTTCACCATCACTACAATGCTGCAGTGAAATTCTTTGAGCTCCTTTCTGAACACTTCTGTAAGGGAATTAGCCCGTCCAACCTCCCTCCCTGAGTGCTGTTTCCCATATCCTGGCCCACAAACGATGTTGCCAATCTGGTGGGTGAAAAGGGTATTGTTTTACTTTAATTTCCATTTCGCAGAGTGAAACTTCACATCTTCACACATGTTCACAGGCTTCTCATACTTCTTTGCCCATTACGAAAAATAACCCATCCATCCTGTATAACAACCCCAAAGTCACTTCCTCCTGGAGTCCTCTGTGGTCAAGCCTCAGAGCCCCACATCCTGACCCGCGTCCTGGGCCCTCCTGAGTCCTCTCACCTGGGCTGACGCGGGCTCAGCTGCGGGTACGTGGGGGCAGAGCCCTGTCACTCGGCCCCTGGAGCCTGTGCTGCCATCATCTCTGACGGCTGAAGAGTCACCCGCCCACAAGGTCACCCGCCGAGGTTCTAGAACGTTAGGCCTTCACAGCCACGCGCTGTGACCTACGGCGTTGCGAAGGGCAGCCCGGGGCTGCACCCTCCGGTTGCTTGCAGAACCTGCTCCAAGCGGCCGCAGCCACTGCCGGGGCATAGCCACCGCCCCCCTCGGCCCGCCCCCTCGGGCAGCGGAAGTCTACCCCTCCGGGGTCCCCAGCGCTGATTGGCCACCTTTGCTCCGCCGCTCCCGGGTCACGCCCCCCAAGGGAGGGCGGCTTCCGCGAGCGCAATTCAAGGGGGCCACCCCACTCTTGGGGTCTCTGGGGAAGCAGCGGGCCTCAGCTTACTAGGGGGTTTAGTCCTCCCGGACCCAACCGCGTCACCCCGCCCCGCAGACCGTCACGACCCAGCTCCCGTCGACGGGAAGGAAGGGGGCGTATGCAAACAACCTGGAGTTCCAAGCATCTGATTGGTGAGCGTGTAGAGAAGGGGTGGGAAGCAGGAGGTGGGCTTAGAGGGCCGTGATCGACGTGCTGGTGGTCCAGTGGCTCTGGGAGGATCGGCGGCGGTGGCCAATGGCGACGGGAAGGGGCGGGACAGGTGAGGTGAGGTTTGGTGGCGGCAGTGGGCGGGGTTGAAGGTGGTCCGGGATGCTCGAGCGCTGTAGTGGTGCTGACTGACGTGCAGGTAGACCAGTGGTTCTGGGAAAGCGGGGAGGCGAGTGGCCAATGGCAACAGCGACCGGGCCGGGCGGCTGGAATCTTCGCAACACTGTGGGGAACGGGAGGGGGTCGGGCAGCCGTGACGGACGTGCACAGAGAGCAATGATATCAGGAAAGGGGTGGTGGACAGCCAATGGT